GTACTGGAAAGAGTCTGGAAGTCACACAGATCTGAGTACAATTGTAGATCTTTCATTTCCTTTATTATGAATGTTAACACAGATTTGAACTTTTGCATCTTCAGTTCCTTGAACTGCAAATTGGAGGCCAGCATACAGCTGGTTTTTGTGTTGACATAATAAGTTTGAGATTAAAGTATTTAGGGTGCCTGTCACAGTCCCTAGTGAATAGGAGCCGATCTGAAAATGAGAGCTCTAGTGATAAAGTTTACATTCAAGCTAGCATCTTATGCTCTGTACAGGACAGTGGTTTTGAGGGGTGATTTTGTTTGTTTTGTTTTTTTCAGATACGGTTTCACTATGTAATTCATGCTGGCCATGAGCTCACTGTGTAGCTCAGGCATCAGTCTTCATGCCTCTGTCTCCAAATACTAGGATTACAGGCACTACCACACTGAGCCAACATGCTCTTGAAACATTTTTTTCCTTCACTATTCTGTTTCTCCCCTAGACAGTGCTAGAAGCACACTAACAGATTCTTACACTGCAGATCTTTTTTAGATTCCTTGGAGGCTGTTGCCCATCTGTTCAGAGACTTATCTTTATATTACCTCTGCCTTCATTTCAAGGCTCATTTTTTCCCTTAATGTTAAAACATTGAACTGCAGACATTACTTCAGTAAAATAAGGGTGGCATGAACAGTCTTCCAAGATAAAGAGGTACCTGTGACTGAACTTCAAGGACAGAATGAAGACATCCTCAGAACTCACTCTACCTTTCTTTTTTTCTTTCTTGTTTTTTTTCTTTTTTCTTTTTTTTTTATTTTAGGAAAGGGTCTACAGGGTGTTCAGGGTCTCACTACTAGATCAGAATTGTAGTGATCCGCCTGTGTACATCCTCCCAAGAGCTGCACGCACCACCACACCCAGTCTCTCTACCTTTCAATTATATAACAGTGTTTAAAATAATTCCCTCCTGGGCCACGGAGATAGCTCAGTAGAAAAAGTGTTCGCCTAGCAAGCGCAAGGGCCTGAGTTCAATTCCTAGTTCTGCCAAAAAAGCTCAAGAAATAAAATAATTCTTCCCCCCCCAGTCCTTTTCTTCTCCCTCTTTGTCAGTCACCATTAACAAAGGGAACTGGAGCTGCAGAGATAGCTCAGAGGGCAGAGTATTTTCATGAGTCTGATCACCAGCACCAATGAATGAATGAATGAATGAATGAATGAATGAATGAATGAATGAATGGTTTAGCTGGGCAGAACTTCAAAGCTCTGCTGGGCAGAGCTTTGAAATTCTGTTCCAAATGCATACTGATTATCCCTCTCCTCACCCCACAAGTAGGCTGCTAATGCATTTCGTGTGTGTGTGTGTGTGTGTGTGTGTGTGTGTAACTGGGGATTGAACTCAGGCTCTTGCACTTGCCAGGCAAGCACTTATTCTACTGAGCCATCTCCCTGGCCCCATTTTTTTTTTTCTTTTTTGCATTTCTTTAAAAGCCCAGTGTCACCACCATGCCATTAAGTCTCTCAGGCTATGAACCTACAATGACCTCAAACTGCTTTTTCTCATCTATTTTCCATGTATACCTGGTCACAAAGTTCTGTTGCTTCCAACACTTAAAAATCTTTTAAATTCAATCCCTACTTTCCATTTCCTCCACCACTGCAGTGTTTTAACACTTTTTTCTGAGACTTCAGTGCAATAAATATTTCGTTGTAAAACATAATAGCATGTTAACATTTATTAGGGGC